GTTATTTCAGAAAATCACGGGGGTATATTTTGTTTACATAAATTGCTTTTGTACCATTTGAACCAAAGTTATAAGTGTGTGCATCCCCAAGATAGCGTGCATTGTATCTGTTAGGTGTGAATTTATCCATCCCTTTCTACCCACTGGCACCTGATTGATTTCTGATGAATGTTACTTCCATATGAGTGCTAATCGACTAGTTACAATTTAAGAGTGAGTCCATGTAGTGTTTGTTTTTCAATTCTTGTGATGCATCACTTAAAAGAATGGTCTCCAGTTCCATTCAGGGTAATACAAGTGGTATTAGTTCACCATTTTTTATGGCTGAATAGTACTCCATGGTATACACATACCACATTTTATCAACCCACTCATATATTGATGGGCACTTGAGTTGTTTCCACATCTTTGCAATTATGAATTGTGCTGCTATAAACATTCAAGTGCAGGTGTCTTTTTTATAGAATGTCTTTTTTTCATTTGGACAAATATCCAGTAGTGAGATTGCTGGATCAAATGGCTATTCAGGAAGCATTTACACATAGCATTCTGGTTAGAAGAGGTAGGCTTGAAGCTGCTATCACATATCATGCTTACTATTTTTACTGTTGGTGTGTTTATCTGCGTTGATTTTGTTTCAGAGAAGGAGATTTAATGTCTTCTTCTTCAAATATCTCTTGCTGAAGCTATATCATAAATTTTGTGGTGGTGGTAGTTTTTACAAGTCAAAAATAATTAGGGAACCTTATCATTCTATGTGTTTTAAAGGTAGAATTGACCTTTTGTATCTGTGAATTCCTCACCCACAAATTTAACTGAACTTGGATTAAACATATTTGGGGAAAAAAACCTAAAAAAATTATAATACACATATTTTGTATTATATATTGTAACAACTATTTGCACAGTGTTTATATTGTATTAGGTATTATAAATAATTTAGAGATGATTTAAAATATAAGGGAGTATGCGTGTAGGTTATGTGCAAATACTAAGCCATTTTATGTAACATTTAAACATGCAAGGATCATGGTTTTGGGGGGAAGGTTTGAACCAATCCCCTAGGATACAGAGGAACTAAGGGAATTTATTCTAATTTCTAAGTGGTCTAAATCACCACACAAATTTCTTTTTCAATATTACTAGATCATTATCACCAAGTAGTGAAATATACAAAAAATATACCAACTATAGTCAATAATGTGCTTGTTGGTCATAACTTTTCACCTTAAAAATTCACAACTACCCTATGTAATGGTTATTATGATTGTTCCGCTTTTACAGAAATAATACAACCTCTGTGGAAAGTAATATGGAAATATCTCAAAGAGCTACAAGTAGAATCACCATTTCATACAACAATCTCGTTACTGGGCATCTACCAAAGGAAAAAAGACATTCTATAAAAAAGACATCTGCACTAGAATCTTAATAGCAGCACATTCACAATTGCAAAGAATGTGGAAACAACCCAAGTGCCCATCAATACATGAGTGATAAAATGTGGATAGTATACCATGGAGTTCTTACCTCACCCATAAACAATGGTTATCTAGCACCTCTTGTATTATCCAGTGATAGAGTTGGAGCCATTCTACTAAGTGAACTATCACAAGAATGGAAAAACAAGCACCATGTATACTCACCATCAAATTGCTATTAACTGATCAACACTTAAGTGCACATAATGTAGTAACATTCATCAGGTTCAGGTAAGTGGGAGGGGGTGGGAAGGATGGTGTATATACCTAAAGGTGTGGTGCATACGTCTGGGGAATGGACATACCTGAAGCTCTGACTCGGGTGGGGCTAAGACAATAGATGTAAGTAACCTAAACATTTGTGACCCTGTAATATGCTGAAATAAAAAAAATAAAAAGAAAGAAGCTTACAAATGTTGTTAACTTGCCCAAGTTCATATGACTTGTTAGTGTAGCCAGAATTCAAATCAATAACTAAATCTAGACTTTATACTATTAACACTAGGCCAAGAGTTCTTGAAACATGATTCATGAAAAGCTTAGAAGTACCAAGACCTGTCAGAGATTTCCAGAGGTTTAAAACTATATTCATAATGATACTAAGACACTCACCCTTTTTCATTGTGTGATATTTTCACTGATGGTGCAAAAGTATGGTGGGTAAAACTGATAATGCCTTAGGAGGAATCAGGCAGTGCATAAATAAAATTAGTATCACTGTTTTTCAAGTCCACACACTGTAACAACAACATTACCTGTTTATGTCCTTGAAGAAACAGTAAAAATTATTAATTAAATTAAATTTATCCTTTGAGCATATCTATGTTAATATTCTATGTTATGAAAGAAAATACAAAAGAAGTGTTTTATACAATATAATAGTACAAAGATTTCTTAGGAAAAATACTTATAAATTAGTTGAGCTGGACTAGTTTTTGTTTATTTTGTTTTCACAGAACATCATTTTTATTTGACAAAATGATTGACATACAAACTATGTTTTTTTTTCAGACATGGATATTTGGCAGGCATTTTCTGAAAAAAATAACAAAGTGAGACTGTCACTTCAAAAAAAAAAAAACTAACATTATTTGTGACCTATGAAAAAATTTGATCTTTCAGTGCAAAAATCAGAATTTTGGAAGATCTGTATCCATCACAGTGAACTTGACAGCTTCCCAATACTTAATTTTTTTTTTCTGATTAGATGAGTGATGGCATTAACAAATGTGATTTTTTAATATTATATAATGAAATGTCAATATTTAGAAGATTTGCATAACTCAGTGAGCCAATATTTTGCAAATGACTAATATATAATGTTATAAGATTGTACATGGGTAAATGATCAAAGTGCAAGTTAAGGCAATGCCTTGTTATGTAACAGATATGAAAAGCTCATTGGTATGGTTTCAGATTCCACATTGCAATTAACCTTTAAAAAACTTCCACTTACTGAGTTTCCCCATATCTACATATCTACAATTATCTGAAAAGGCAATGAAAATATCATCCCTCACTTCAAACTACATAACTGTGTAACAGCAGATTATTTTTAACATCTCAAATCATAACACATACCTGAACTTACCAAATGAGAAGATATGAGAATTTGCTCTCTTCTAGTAAACCAAACAACCATAAAATATGACACTCTTCTCACTAACTTTTATTGAAAAATAGATAATTTCACAAAGCTATGTTATTTATGTTAAGATGGAAGGTTTACTGTTATTTTTAAATGAATAAATAACTTTTTGAAATTTCTTAGTTTCATTTTATTAATAGACATAATACACATAAACAAATACTTATTTTGAATCCTCAGTAATTTTTTAAGTATATAAAGGAGGGATCATAACACCAAGCATTCTGAGAACCGTTACGTTAGATTTTCCCAACCCTTATCAGATATAGGTTTCTATCTCTTTGGTAGAATATGTCTAGTGATGGGAAATTCACTACCTCTTAAGAAACTCTATTACGTCTTTAAACCAATCAAACTATATAATTTGACTTCTACTCATTGGTTTTGGTAACATGGTAACATGCTCTGAAATCACACAAAGGAGAGAGAATCCCTATTCTTCAAGACAGACCTTAAAACCTGTAAGACTGTTACAATACTAATTTAAAATCAAACTAAGTTTCCACTTATTAGTACTCTCATCTAACATTTATTCATCCATCTTCCTTACAAGGGTAGTGAGTGATTTTATCAAATGTCTTTCTGAAATCCAGACATACCATGCATCATTTTTAATTGGGTTGTTTGGAAAATATAGTCCTTGGAGGTAAGTACTTCCTGCTCTGCTTTTACTGAACTATGAAATATTAGGCATATATAATATTTCTTCCAGTTTTAAGTTTGCTAAACCATCAAATTAAAAAAAAAAACAACAAAACTTCTGTTAGATGATCTTGGATGTCCCTATCATCAGATGTATATTTGAACCTGGCTATATATTATACAGAATATATTCACACACATTTGAAGATTAAGATTTCCAGGGGAGTTATTGCCGTGTCCAATTTTTTGAAAGCACACATTAAAGTCATCTGCCTATATAAAAATAATTTTTAAAATAACAAAACCTTTTTTAAAAAGGGTGCTGTATTGAAATTTCTTAAGCTCAGTTGATTGCTTTTTTCTACTCCCTGATTGACAGAAAGAGTCACCATTAAAAATTTCAGTTTTAAGTCTCATATCCCCTTCAGAGACCTTTTCAGCATCATTCCTGTCTTTTTTTTTCTTTTGACATCTAATATTTCTATTGCAAATATCAAACAGAAAAACACAGTGTTACACAAGCCACCAGAGACAAAAAGGCAGAAAGTAATGACTTTACATTTTGGTTCATTTAACTGTGAATCCCATGTCAAGAATCTGGCACTAGAAACTAGAGAGCAACAGTGAGACAATATAAAAAAATCATAGGAACATAACAATTTGAGGATGACAGGGCAGGAAGTCTGTGCACAAGCTGGACAATAAAGCTCAAAGTGATCCCAATAGCAGCAAACACTGGCCCTCGCCATTTATAAAAGTTATTATTGTCCCCTCACTGTAGATAACAGGATCTGGATGGTGCATATTACTCTTGTCTTTCACTCCTTTTTGCTCTGAACCATTGGAATGTAATTGTCTTTTTAAGTACAATGTGCAATAGACTGTTACTCAATTTTCCTAAAAATCTGTTGACTTGCTACTCATATTCTTTGGCATGATCATTGCATTTAAGAATTATGAAATCTTACCAATATCCAGGTGAGATTCTTCTTGCATAAAATTCATGGGTGCGGCATACAGCATTACTGAAATCGAGAGAAAGCATTCTTCCCTCAGAATTTCTATTAACTAAAAGTGAGGTACATTGTGACATTACTGGCCTACTGGCAACCCAGGCACTCCCTTGGCAGAGTGCTCACAACATTCTACCCAGAAGCATAATTCTGGCTACACTGTAGCTAATGGGGGATATTAAAGAAGTAGGGGCTTCGCTCTGCTACAGATATTTTAATTTACAATTAACACAGGGTGAGGGTCATCCTTTCAGAATTTCTGGCTTGGAGGTCCACAATTTAGAATTGGACATTATTCCTACTCATAGTTGAAAACCCTGGCAACGTATGTTATATAATTTCCCTTGCTGCCAAAAGTTCCTCCAAATTGACTTTTGTCCCCCATCGGCAGCTCTCCAAACCCTCATCCCATAGAAAACAATAATTACATATCATAGCAATGGAATTTCCTACCTAATTATTACAAAGTAATCTATAGAGGCCAAAATATTAAACCCTTCATCTCAACTTTGTTGGAATCTTTTCTGTACTCTACCATTTTTTCCTTTACTCTTTCTTTAAAGTTTCTCTATTATACTTCCTTCACAACTTCACCAACCATTCTTCCCTAATGACCTATAAGTCTTAAGCATCTTGCCCCTTCCCTTTTTTCCCCACTTCAATTTCCTAACATAACCAACAGGTCCAGGAACCTGGCTCAGCCTGAAAATATGTCTTCTTTACCAATACATACACCAAAAATGGCCAGAGTGTTCAGAGAGGACTGATGTAGAACACACATATGATTTGGAAATCTTTGTTGATGACATTCTAACATTTCTCAGAAACATTATGGAAATACAACTTGATTTATGCCCCTTAGAAGTGATTATTTTCTTTTCTCTTGATTTATTGCCAAAGTTGTATAAGCAGGTAGACAAGGAATCAGTATAGCCAGGTGTGACTATGTAGTTTGTCCCCAGAAGAATGGTTCCTGAAATATACACCATGATGCACTGTCTGGTTTTGGGTCTTTTTGTCTGAAGAGCTATGGCAGCCCAGAGAAAACATCTGGTTCTTATTCATATAAATATGGTGAAATAGGCTAGGGTACTCCTGCTAGGAAATATGACAAATGGAGTTTCAGATACATATGAACAACTACTTACTAGATATCTTCACTTAGCTATCTAATAGGTGTTTCCAGCTTAACATGACTAAATCAGACATCTTGATACTTCTTCAAATTTTGTTTCTTCTCCAGTCTTTGTCATTTCATAAAATTGGTTCTATTACCCACCCACTTGCTCAAGCAAAGAACCTAAGAGACATTTTGACCCTTCCTTTTTCCTTTCCAATCACATCTAATCCATCAAAAAACCTGGTAGTTTAAAGTATGTTTCCAAATTTTTCATTTCCCTCCATGTCTATGGCTACCTATTTTTAGACACTATCATATGTTCCTCCTTGTCTTTTATCTTGCTTATATAAAAATATAATTCACATAACAGGTAAAATTATATTATAGTTTAGCTAAAAAATATTTCAGAGGCTTGTCATTGCACTTGGAACAATACCAAATCATTGTTTGGTCTACTACCCCTTCCTTTTGGCTATATATTCAAATTCATCCCTCAGTAACCTCTCTTCATCCCAACTGTGATTTCTATTAATACAATATACTGAATTTTCTGCCCAAAGAACACTGCTTTATCAAAGCAAAGTCCATTCTAATATGATATTAGTTATCTTTGAATTAGAACATGAAGTCTTAGAAAACTTTACTTCCTAAATTGATGTATTACCTAGTTCTACTATTCATGATATAATACAAATATGTTTTGTGTGTATTCATGATTCTGAAGTATTCCTCAAAGTGCAGACAATGCTGATTGTCTATATTTGACTACAAATTATTTTGCCAACAAATGTAGACAAAATAATTTGCAGGTGCCAAATGAAATTTGTTTTCCGTATGTTAATGGGGAGTGGAGGGATCTGAGAGGCTAAGAAAAAGAATGGCTTAGATGTGAGGCCAGAGAGCAGCCATCACTTATTTTACACATGTGCTGACAATAGACCCTAATTTTCTCTGTTCTTGTTCCAGGCACGGCCCTAGTCCAGAAATTCTCTTTGTGATTCTAGCTATATGCAGGTTTTTCAGTGCCTGTTTTGAAACTAATGAGAAGAAAAAGAAAAATGTCATTGTCAGGGTCTTAGAAATACTTAATGATGGTTCTTACCTGTGGGTAAATATCAAGGAGCTAAAATCCACAGGTATGTGATGTGCTTTCTGAAGGAGAGAAAATAATGAAGTCTCACAAACAAAAGATGATCAGAGGTGCTGTTCCCTGGATAGATAGGACACATAGGAGAATGGGTTGGCCACAAGTAGGATGTGAATTTCAGCACTGGACCTGCTGAGTTGCAGAGGCTTATGGTATATATAACACACAGTTTCGATGTTAGGGTAGGCTCTGCAAAGATACTTGTGTGAAAAATAGAGATTTGTGAATTACTAGAATATTAAGGACAGTTGAAGAATTGGAAGTTGATAAAATCAATAAATATGAGTATATACTATGAAAAGAAAAATAAGAGAGATGAGAGATAAGGATAAAAATGGAACTCCATGGATCACTGTCACTTATAATGCAAGTAAAGAGAACAAAAACTAAAGAGACCCAGCAGTGAAAGAATGGGGAGAGAGGCATTCCAGAAGCCAAAGGAAAAGAAGGTTTCCTCAGTTTGAAAGTGGTCAACCATGTCATATGCCTCAGAGAGTTCAAATAAGATAAGGACTTCAAAGCTCCATGAAGTCCATATGTGATCTTTGCCAGAGCTATTTTAGACAATTTATAGCAACAGAAGCCGGGTATCAATAGGGTGAGGAGTGACAGGGAGGTGAATAATTTTTTCAGAAAACTTAGTCATGAAGAAAAGGTCATAGTTTAGGTTATATCTAGAGGTAGGTAAAGGATCAATAAAACTTTGTTTGTTTGTTTTTGTTGTTTTTAAGCTCAAAGAGAGCAAGATTCTTTAAAATGAGCTAGGAATGATGCAGAGATCTGAGGGACATAGAATGAGGAAAACATTCTAGATGAGAACAGGGAGGATTGTTCCACTGTAACCAATGGTTTTAATGATTTACTGAGACATATTGTGAGATATATATTAACATAATATACAAATTTACAGTTATTCACCTCCAAGAAACCTTCCTAAGATTTCCTACATCCTCAATAATCCCAACCCAGGCTGGGGTAGGTGTTCCTTTGAGCTCTCCAAATATTCTGAGTAATAATGTATTTTCTGTTTTTCTTTTTTTTCCTATTAAAATATAATGAATGTTTCAAGAACATTATTCCTAGTCTCATACCTGGGCATATAGCATGTTGGCTCAAATAACTGGTAAATTAATGAGAAAATAAACTACCAAAAAGAAAAATCAGAAACTAGATTTAGAAAATAAAGGCTTCTGAATGTATTGTTTTTTAAGAAACTAATTCTTAACCTAATATTTAATGATACAAAGAAATTATAAATAAATGCCATGTATAAATATTTTTAAATTAAAATTAATACCCAAACTGACTCCACTTAACTGATCTATCAGTTTTTTAGGTTTTTTTTGTTGTTGTTGTTATTTTCTCCATATAATATAATAGGCATTTTCCTGTTTAAAGATGGATTGGATAACCTTTCAAAGTCCTTTTTAGGCCTATGACTCTGTGATCTACTGACATGCCTTAATTCGACTGCTCCATGACTATACCCAATCACAGTCTACTAGACAAGTATTAATATTAAAGTTCTATCAGATTTCTGTATCATCTGCTTGGATGACAGTTTTGCTCCACTGACTAGTTCCCCAGGTCAAGATTCATCACCTGCTACAGCAGAGGATTTCAGTAACAAAGAATTATAGAAATACTGCTATAGCAGCCACACGCAATGTACTGAGGGTAGATTTTATATACTTCTCTTGATTTTCTAGGGCTTTGTAATTTTCCCCAGCAACCCAACTAAAATGATTTGATGAAATACTCAATATCCCCCCTTTTCTGCATCATCTATGTATTAAATTCTTAAACCAGAATGCCAACACGACATGAAAAATAAATGTGGTGACTCCAATTCTCTCTCAGCTGGCAGGAGCTGCATCAATAAAACCACTCAAGACATTCAGAAATATGTGGAGTTTTCCATGGGAGACTGCAGATCGATGAACACACAGAACATGTCCTTGTCACCCCTGCTGCGGTGCCTTTTCTTCTCAGCCTGATGACACATCAATAAAGCTGTCTGAGTCTCTGGCTACTGTTACAGACTGTAAATGTCTCCTAGTGTTAGTCTTACTGAACAGGATTCCCTGCACACCTCTCTGACACCCTGTCTAGCCCTCACTTCAATAGAGGTTTCTGGCTTCTAAGCAGGACATATTTAAATTGAGATGGGAACTTTGACAAAGAGATCCACATTAAAATATATATATATATATATATATATATATCTGATATATATATATATCTGATATATATATCAGAGCACTAACATGGGCACTCTGTAACCTGCAGCATTTCCAAAATTATGTATTTCTAAAGTAATGATAAATTAAATGATTTATATGATAAATTAAATGATTTATAAAAAATCATTTGTTTTTGTCTTAGTTCAAATATTAATGTACAAAATCAAGATTTAAAAACTAAGTACTGAAAATTAAGCATCTAACAGATCAGTTCTGATTCACTCTTTGTTTTTTCTTAATGAAACACTCCTTATATGTTGATGAAATTAGACCTTAGTGAAGAATAAATCAAATTTATTAGATTTGTTACTCTATATTCAGATCAACATTTTCTTTTCGTTTTTCCCCCATCAAATATGTGCTAGAAACTTGCCATACTCTGGACATTAGGTGAGAGAGCACGTGGGAACAAGCAATGAAAATATATCATGGCAGGTATCATTAATCCAGGTAAGCCCAAAGTGCTTTGGAGGTGCAAAATAAGGAACACTCACGTTTTCTTAGCAGAACAAAAGGCATTGGAGAAAGGATAACATTGGAACTGTGCTTAAAAGATGAATAAAGTTTTCTGTGAGAGAAGGTAGAAAGGCAACAAAGAGGCCCCTATATGTAGATGCATTGAGCACTCGAATGGTGTTACCTTCATGAACATGTAAGTGGCATGGTCTGACTGGAGAGTGAGGGTGAGAGGGTATTGAGCAATGGTATAGAAAAGATAAGGTTGTGAAGGGCCCTGCATGCTAAAATAAGATCCTTCATTCTGGAGATCCATAGTTCCCATGCCTGGCTCATCATCACAATCACCTGGGCAAGTATTTCAAAAGTATAGATTATTTTGATACATTTCTAAAGACTCTAATGAGTATGTGAGGGATGAGTTCCAAGAATTTATATTTTTAAGAAGCTCCAGATATGATGCTTATTAAATTTGATTATTATCCTACGTAGACAATGAGACTCTGAAGGGCTTAAAGGAAGGGAGACAATCTGATATAACTAGGATTTAATAATCATCAATCCTGTAGGTAGAGAAATGAGTAAAATGTCTGTTAGAGGTCACAAACATGTGGCCTATAGATTGGTTTTACTGAATGTGCACAGAATTGGTATAATCTTTGTGTATGTGCATGCATGTTTGTGCATGTGTGCCTGTGTATACTTGTACATGGTTATTAGCTAGTCATCCATACTTCACAATGTGAAAATGTCACATAATAAACTTGCTTTTCTGTTTCCCTTGTAAACTTAGGTGATATTATCATACAGGGTTTATCGATTGACATGGTAACAATTAGCTAGAGCCTCCTACAGATTGGACATGCATCCTCCTGACTGCACAACCCTCACCACTGCCAGTTTTCTTTTACTTCAACTCGATTCACTCCCTGCCTGGTTACTATAAGAATTTGAGTTTGTATTGCATGGGTAGAGAATATTATGCTTGAAATCGAAGGCACTAATCTTGTCTGTAGTATAACAAGCCTACATTTGGTAGAGAAAGGTTAAGTCAAAATATCAAGTTTGCTAAATTGCTTTAAGATGTGTATTCATGAAATGTGAAAAAGAAGTATATTGGAAAAATAGGAGACAATTAACATTTATTGAGCACTTACTCTGTACCAAGAACTATGCTAAAAAATTAAATTCATGTATTCTCTCCCTTAATCAGCTTAACAATATTGGAAAACACACTGTATGAGGGACAGGGATCTTTTATTGATGAATATACTGTAGTTAGAATAATGCCTGGCATAAAGAAGGTACCCAATGAGCATTTTTGATTGGCTAAATAAAAGGTAAATCACAATTAATAAAATTGACATTAAAAAGTGCTGACCAAGGTCACCTAGGCAGTAAATTTTTGAGCTCAAATTCAGCTCAATCTGTTGGCCTTCAAAACATAGGAATCTCAACTGCTCAGTATTAGCTTCCCCTTATCAGTGAAGTCAATCCTCAGCCATATGGGTCATTTCTTGACATAAAGCAGGAAGGAAGTCCATTGCCATAAGTCAATTCAATTTCTAACCAAATCCTTTCGTGCATTATCTTGTTCTCTTTTTCTCATTCTACTTAGACAAACATCTTAACTTCTTGGGACATGCAAATAAGTATGCTGTTTACAAGTGAAGTTAATAGAAGAACAAGAGTTCCAGACTATCAGGAGCCTTGCAGGACCACATCTGAAAGTCTCCCAACGTGGCAGACCATTCCTGGCCTGCCTTAAATCTGACCTAATGTTTTGTCTGACAAGCTAAGAGGACTCTACATAATTTTAAAAAATGTATCCACAATGCAAATATCTGCTGAGTTGTAATGCAACCCTTACTTGAACCAAGATATTAATCAAATGAAATTAAATTTCTGGAAAAGATCTTGTTTATTGATGAGATGATTTAGCATAACCTAGCTTGGCTACTTTCTGCCTCAAACATGTATTAGGCAATACCCTATATTAATCTTACTCTGACCTTTCCCAGATTCACATTTTCCTACTAGTAAATAGGCTCATATCTACTGATGGTCTATGACATCTTTTTGAACATCCAAAATTCCTAAAGAGACTAGATAGTTCTAATACTGAGATAAAATTGTCTTTTATTTAACATGTGCTTACATTAAACAGGGGAGTCAAGCCACTGCCTAGATTTATTTAGGGAATATTCCCTTCTTTATTTTAATCTTCCTGTAATCAGGCAGCAATTTTAAAAATTCTTCAAAGGACAGTGAGGACTTATCTTAATTCTTCTTTGAACCCCTTTCCTTCTGTAATTTGGAGTAAAATATTACAGACATATGAGTTAATAGTTGTTATCTAATAATCAACTTCAATTTAGGCAACAGAATTCTGAATAGACAGAATCCCTGGAGTAAGGAGATAGATGCATATAAAGTAATACACAGGCTTACATAGAGAAGTGACTAGCTTGTTTGCCCCTTTCTGGTGGTTCTTTATTCTAATAAACACAAGGTCATTGTGTTCACATAAGTCTGCCACAGATCTCTCCTAGTGTTGTTTTCAGATTGCCCATCATCCATCTTGCTACTAGATCTGCCTTCCTCTGCTGAGCAGCTCCTATTATAATTAGAACAAATCTCAAGGGAAGCCAGGTTCCTAAGCAGAGGCTCGGCAGTCATCAGACAGCATCATGTGTCCCAGACTTGTGTCTCTGTTTCTACTGCCAACTTTATCAAGAGTTTCTCCTTACATGGCAGGTAGTGAGAAAGAGCTACAAATCACTTGACTTAGGCCAGAATTACAAGCAATAGCATTTCATTTTATTCATGATGAAGAATTTAGTCTGGTAGTTTTGAATAATAGCATGCCTTGATATTTCAGTGCATGGATAAGAAGCCACAGTGATTTATGTTTAAAGTAAACCTTATGACCATTTACCATTAGAGAAGAGGAATAAAAAATCAATATTCAATGTTTATGATGACTATATAATAGCATGGGAAATGCTCAGGATATGTACTAAGTAAAAAAATCAGAAGAAAAACAATATGCCTTTTATACTTACAACTTTTAAGATATGTACAGGAAAACAAATACAAAGTAATATTTTAAAATATTCATCTGAGATATTATGGAATTATGAGCAATTTATATATATTTTTTGTAAACATGTATTATGTAAATATATTATTTCTATTGTAGAAATAATTATTATAAAAATGAAATGACAAATATAAAACAAAATACTATGCAAATGATAATTCTTTTGTTAATAAAGTTGTTAAATTTTTAACATGTGCAGTGCTACCTAAATAAATAAAAATACCACTATACCAGTTAAAAGGTAGGATATATTTTCTTAATATTTCAATAATTTTTAAATACTGCTTCTTCAAAGAGAGTAATTACAATTAAATTTAATGAAAGCAAACATGTCTATCTGTAAAGTCAGACAAGTTCTTGGTTGAAGCAAGAAAGACAAAATACAGGACAGGCATGGAGGCAACTATGACTGTATTTCAAATAACATGTTAAATGCTGACAAGATAGTATTCATATAAAGAAAGAAAAGTAAAGGACATCCAGACTTTGCCCCTTTTGGAAATGCTACATTCACAGATACCTTGGGGAATCAGGCATAGAGACTACACGAAGGTTATTTGAGATCCATTTGAGATTATGTCAACCAGCAGAGCTGAGGGATTGACAAGATAAAAAGGCCAGTTTTTTTTGTTTTTTTTTTTCATATCCAATTCTTCTGATATGCTTCACTAAACACATAAAAACAGAGACAAAACACAAAGGGAAAATGTTTATACATTTTCAGGTTTGTGAATCATTTCAAGGGAGAGAAGGGACATCATAAGGTCATCTGAAGTGTCTTCACAAACACTTTAGAATATTATTCATTGCACACAATTTGCAGCACCCTTGGCAATCAAAATATAGTTATTTTCTTTTGTTGAAGACCACGCAGGTCTGCCTGGCTCTGAGAGGCACTTTACATCAGGGTATTTTATGTGTGAGAATCCTAATTGGAAGGAGACAATAGGATAAATCTGAGCCAAGTACTTAGAAGAGTGACAAATCAAAAGGCCACAATTCTGAAGACTAGTGAATAAAGACAGAGTGTGCTTATGGGTAGAAGATTGGATCAAGATTTGAAGGCAAAGAGAAGATGAAATAGGTTGACAGCAAACAGGAAGTTGTCTGGGAGACACTATGTTTATAAAGAGCCATGGAATATCCCATTCAACCTCTGTAGTCAATAGGTCTGTGGCAGGTTGGCACATCAGGCTAGATAAAAGATATATAGGACAGGGACTCTTCACATTTAGCAACGTATTCTTTTCAGTGTCCTCAAGACTTAGACTTGAGGGATTCATAGCAAAAAATTATACTAACACCAAGTTTTAAAACCCCTATATCTGCTGCTAGTTCTCTTTATGACCTGGCCTTCCTGAACTTTTGCTATAACAAGACAATCTGTATGTCTTTTTGTGTGTGTTTTTTTAACGTAGGAAGCCCTGAACATTATCGGCAATCCCTCATGTCCCCTTTGCCTACTCATACCACCATGCCAGAGAAGCATGTGAAAGGATTAAGACTCCTTTTAAAGTGCATTGATTCCTAAAACAGGCTAAACCAATAAAAATGCCACCGACAGCCAACATATTAGATTAATGGCCTTAAGTGTGAAAAGTTATTTATATGTCTATCTCTTAGCACATTTTTTAGGAGAATGGACAATGCCTTATTCATTCTCATATCACTATGATCTAGATAGCACAGTATTTGACTTATTGTAGGTAAACGATGAGTGAATGAATGCAAAACTTCCACGTTCATTCATATAAATTGCCTTGTGTTATTTCTTGACAAAATTAAAGATCAAATGTGTAAATTCTGAAGCCCTGCAGTTGCACACTACTGTTGACTCTCTCATTAAAATCACATGCCATTTTAACCATGCAATCTTAACCATCATGGATGCTGAAAGGTTAGAGAATAGAAGAAAGTGCTAGAGAAATCAGTTTAGCTCTTAACATTTTTTGGTAAAGCTTTTCTTGTTTTTTTTTTTGCAGAATTCAGGATTGGACAGTCAGTCAAATAACAAGAAATTATTCAAAATGAGTGTCAGGAATCTGGGTGGTATCTTCCCCCTTCCCCTGTGATATTTGGATTCATAGTTTAACACAAGCTTAATAGGGATACCTTACTTAGTATGAAGTAAGGGAGAAAACACATAATGATGTTTCCTGGTACTCTCAGGATATATATAGAAAGAAACTAGACTGTGAAATTTTCTTTATTTCCTCCCTCCCTCCCTCCCTCCCTCCCTCCCTTTCTTCTGTCCATCCTTCCATCCTTCCTACCTTCCTACCTTCCATTTATAGCAAACTAGTCGCACAATTAAATATATTAGTAAGAAATTGAGAAAAGATAATTCATAGAAAAGAGTTTACAACATGTGTTTCACAAAGTTGCTTTAAGAGTTCTGCAACATTTAGTGGTGTTATCTTATTTTGTTTTTATGGATGGTAAGGCTATGACTGAGTCTGTCATCCATAATCCTAATTTTGAATTTACTTTTTTGCTCATCCAAACAGTCACATTATTCTAATTGCTTGAGTTTTAAATTAGGTAAATGCTATAACTTTTATTTTATAAGAAGACATAATTATAAATCACTACTCTAAAGTTAGTTACTAAGAGAAATTGAGCAGTCTGTCAGATCTGCATACTTGCAGGTCAGTGCTCTTGCCAGTACATAATTTGGCCAACTTCACAGAGTTATGAACACATCTCTCCTCTATTCATCTCTATTGGTGACTCCCCATTTAGCTAGCATAATTCATCAGCATGTTTATCAAGCAGATGTCACTTGAAAAGGACACAGGGGACAGAGCCTCTAGTGATCACTAGGCCCTTATTTTATTTAAAATCTTGCAAATTTATCCACATTGCTATACGCTACAGTTTGGCGTCAGAATAATGACACATGTAATAAGGGCAAGAAAGATGAAGGAGAAAGAAGAGGAGGCAGAGAAAAAGAAGGGAGAGAAGTACAAAGACAAAAGGAAAGCTAGGGAATAAAAGAAGTTTTAAGGATTAAATAACACTGGAAATTGTTAGTATTTTTCAATGTTGTGCATGCAATATGTTATTGAATCTACCTAGCATGAATAAATTCATATTTTCAGAGTATTTAAAACCCCAAAGAGTGTTCTTATATTTATTCATAGATTTCTTCTTAAATAGGTTCTTGAAGGTAAGGCAGAGATTGTGATTTCCATTTTACAAGGAGGAAACTAAGGCACATGATTAAATGATTGTCCCAATGGCACTGAGCAAATCTGTAGCAGAATGAGATTTGTAATATATTAACTCCTACCCCTTTCATAACTTCATCTCTAGTGTCATTCTGAATATATGACTATGATCACATAAGTCATAAACTTATATTAAAAATAAACATATTTCAAAAATCCTGTTGCCAAAAAATGCCAAAATTCAAAGAAAAGTAAAAATCTGAAAAATATTTATACTGCACTCAACAGATAGAGAAAAAAATTAGAAAAAAAACAACCGTTCAATGGAAAAATAGGCAAAGGATAAACAGGCAGTTCAATTCACAGAAAAAGAGATTGAAATAGCTTAAAACCATATGGATAGATGCTCAACCTCACTAATTATTCTGTAAAATGCAAATTAAATAACAAAAATGCTTCCTTTTTTTTTTTTAACCTATCAGATTGCCAAGGATTATAAAATTTGGCAAGGGTGTGAGGAAACAGACATTTTTATATATTGTTGTTTGGAGTACTTGGCAATATCTATCAAATTTTTAAATGCACATATGCCTCAATGCAGCAATTCCACTTCTAGGAATTTTTCCTATAGATGAACACCCACATATATGCAAAGATATTCATACTGAGATGACTGATGCAGCCAGTTAAATGTCCATCAGTACAATACAATGCAAATCCATTATATCATTGGATGATTCATAGTGGAGATATTGCTATGAAAGCTTTCCAAATAGATTATTTTTAAAAAGCAAAATGTAGAACATTGTTTAATCATTATCTCCATTTTGTTTAAGAACAATTTATTCATTCCATCTATAAGTTGATTACTCTGAAATGCAGATATCTGGTCCTGATCTGTTCCTGAACTCCAGATTTGTATCCAACTTAATATAGTCATTACAGAACACTTAATTTCCACCCCCTGCTTCCCAAAGCCTACTCTGATGACTTTCTTATTCTAATAATTATTAGCACTATCCATCTGGTTACATAGGCACAAATTTCTATATTATTCTTCTTTCATACTCCATTTCCAATATATCAGCAAGTTCTATTGCCTAGATCTCCAAAACATGTAAAAATAGCCCAGTTGAGTGTCTTTTTCACTAATCATCCTCCAATTCCAAGCCACTAGCCTCTTCCCTGGAGTTTTGCCTCATATGCCTATCTTCTTCTTTGCTTTATCTATAGTCCTTACTATACATAGCAGCAGATGACACTTCTTGCCTAAAATCCTCTAATGTTGAACTAACACATTTAGAATAAAATCCTAACTCTTTAACAGGCCCACAAAGCCTGGCATTATCTGGCCTCTGCCTTTCTCTCTGACCTCAACTCCCACAACTCTTCCTTGCCAATGCATAGAAAATACTCTGTAGGATACACAGCAACTTGGCAATAGATTGGTAGTAGGGAAAGCTACTTTGATTTGTTGAATGTTCAGAATTTACAGCCCAGAATGTTTCTACTGTGGTCTCTGCACTCACACATACATGCATCTTGCAGACCTCCCTCCCAGTTTTAGGTGCTGTCCTTAGATTGGCCCACTATTTCCAAAGAGTACCCTTTGCTGATCTCAGGTGGTTTTCCTAATCTCAAGGCCATCAACAGAGACGCTATTATCCTTTCCTTCCTCCCACCCTGAGGACCCCATAGGAGTTTTGTATCTGCCAATGATTTATCCATCCTATCCTATATTTAGGATTTGGAGTCTATCTTGTCACATAGTTGG